TTCCCAAATCATACTAATATAAATTTCTTTTATAATGTGTTTGATCCTTAGGTCCACAGGAAAAGACGGTATTTGCACTATCTATCTTAACAACTTAATAAGTCCACTCATTAATACTCATCAAAAGTTGTTGCTTTACACACAAAAAAAACTTGGTAAAATCAAATAATAATTGTCAAACAGGCCCCAACCAGCAAAATTGTCAATTCTACTAAGTAAATAGTAATTTCACAACAACAAAATACACACAATTAGCAAAGACACTCGTCACTATTTTAATAGTTACGTAACTATCTTTCTTGGTCAATTTTACCAAGCAATTTTTTTGTGTGTAGAGTCGACATCAAATTGAAAAATAAAATTTTAAAATTAAACAATATTTTTTGGAATTTTTATATGAAAATGTTTTTTAATTAAACTTAAAAATGGAACGGAGTCAAAGCATATTGAGAGAACATTCAACGCAAAATCAGAATATTTGTGCGTAACAGGGAGAAGGAAGCGTTTCCGACCCTATAAAGTATATATATTCTTAATCAGGGTCACTAGCCGAGTCGATATAGCCATGCCCATCTGTTTGTCTGTCTATCCGTCCGTATAAACGCTGAGATCTCGGAAACTACAAAAGCTAGAAAGTTGGGATTACCCGCACATATTCTTGGGCTTCCTACGCAGCGCAAGTTTATTTCAGCCGAGCGCCACGCTCCCTCGAACGCCCAGAAACGATTTTAAAATATGTCAAGCGACCACTTTTTTAAAGGATTCGGGGAAGTATAAATGCGTTTATTCATACCTATAGGTATATATATGATCAGCTCAAATGAACAATTAATAAGCAAAACTGTAACAACCGATAGGCATTTATGCTATTTTTTTGGTATTTAAAAGACAGTCCATACGGTAATACCTGTGTCGATAGGTCAATTAACAAAATTGAATCTAAAAAGTAAAATTTTGCTCATTCAATAGAGCTACTGTGAAATGGGGGAAAAAATAATTTGATGCTTTTTGACTGAATTTTCAAACTTTTTGCGTGATAATTATGTGCTGTAAAAAAATAGGAACTACACACAAAAAAATTTGCTTGGTAAAATTGACCAACAAAGATAGTTACGTAACTATTAAAATAGTTACGTGTATTTTGTCTTTGATTTGGGTTTGTGTCTTTGCTAATTGTGTGTATTTTGTTGTTGTGAAATGACTATATACTTAGTAGAATTGACAATTTTGCTGGTTGGGGCCTGTTTGACAATTATTACAGTTGAGATTTTACCAAGTTTTTTTTTTTGTGTTTTACTGGTTGAAGGTACTTTGACAAAAAAACCAGCTATCGATGGCCGAAATCGGTTAATCACAAGTCGAGTTAGAAATTAAAAAAGCGTCAAAAACGTTTTTTACACTTTAAAAAAAGCTGTACCATACAAAAAATTAAAAGTGCCCTTTTCTTAATCAGGGAGATGTACCTTAACCGAAAATCATAGTTTCATGAAGTGCGTATTTCATCAATTTTTTTTTAGTAAACTGGTGTTACCGCCATTGCCACTACCGCCACTACCAAACGGAGAAGATAAGATAGCAAGGTCACTTTGAATATAAACGTTAAATTTAATCTTTTTAATTCAAATAGCTTTAACTGGTTGAATCAACAAGGTTCATAGCTATAAAAAGTAATAGTGTAATTTGCCATGGAATCAGACATTTTTATCATATGAGGCAGTAATTTGTAGAAAGGCAATTAAATATTCATTCATTGGCGCAGTAATATCTTTAATTAGAAATATAAGCATTAGTTATACTTCGCGATGGAGAAATTAGACCACTGAAATAGTATTTTTATACACACAAAAAAAAAAACTTGGTAAAATCAACTGTAATAATTGTCAAACAGGCCCCAACCAGCAAAATTGTCAATTCTACTAAGTAAATAGTCATTTCACAACAACAAAATACACACCATTAGCAAAGACACAAACCCAAAGCAAAAACAAAATACACGTAACTATTTTATTAGTTACGTAACTATCTTTGTTGGTCAATTTTACCAAGCAAATTTTTTTGTGTGTAGAATGCCCTCCGTCTGTCTGTCCGTTTCTACGCAAACCAGTCTCTCAGTTTTGAAGTTATCGGCTTCAAATTTTCCCAAAACTCTTCTTTTTATTGCAGGTAGTATATAAGTCGGAACCGACCGGATCGGACAACTATATCTTATAGGTCCCATAGGAAGGATCGGAAAAAAAATCGTTAAAAAAATTGTAGCATTGGTAATTTTTAAAATATTACCTTCTACTCTTGGGGATGTTTTTTTTTAATATTTCTGAATTTTGAAATTAAATATTTAAAAAATCGGTCGACTATATCATATAGCTGCCATAGGAACGATCGGAAAATTAATGGAAAAGTAATAGGAAATAAATTCTAGCCTCTTTGGCTTTTATTATATTTTCTTCTACTTTAGGACATGACTCTTTTTAAATATTTCCGAATTTCAATTTTAATTTGATCAAAATAGGATGACTATATCATATTGCTGCCATAGGAACGATCGAAAAATTAATGGGAAATTAATTGGAAACAAATTATAGCTCCGTTGATTTTTATTGTATTGATATATGGATATGATATGATTTTTTTTAATATTTCAGAGTTTTTAATTAAATTTAACAAAAATCGGACGATTATATTCTATAACTGCAATAGGGAAGGATAGAAAAAATAATATTAAAATAATACGAAATTTAACATTTTTGCGATTTGTAAGTTAATAGGAACGATCTGCAAGGGTATATAAGCTTCGGCTGGCCGAAGCTAGCTTTCTTTCTTGTTTTACCGTTTTTTTCCGATCCTTCCTATGGGAGCTATAAGATATAGTTGTCCGATCCGGTCGGTTCCGACATATATACTACCTGCAATAGAAAGAAGACTTTTGGGAAAGTTTCATCCCGATAGCTCAAAAACTGTGGGACTAGTTTGCGTAGAAACAGACAGACGGACGGAAATGGCGAGATCGACTCGTCTTGTGATGCTGATCAAGAATATATACTTTACTGGGTCGGAAACATCTCCTTCACTGCCTTGCAAACTTCTGACCAAAATCATAATACCCTCTGCAAGGGTTTAAAAAATGTCAAAATAATTCGAAATTTAACATTTTTGCGATTTGTAAATTTATAGGAATGATCTACTTTTTTGTTTTTTTCGCGCGTAAATAATACACTAGTCGGCATAATTATTTTGACAGATTTGAATGTTACCGAATAAAAAAATTATCCTCATATTGCTTCATCAATTCTTCACGAAGTGGTAAAATAAAATTTTTGTATTTGCAAGACCTACTAGTAAAGACAACGATTTTAGTTTAGCAACTTTGCATCAAGCAAAAACAGCGCAACGTGTAAGAAGAGAACAGCAATACGAACACGGGAGAGCAGCAGTCTTAAATCATTTCCGAACAAAATTTGAAAATATATCATGACTTTTGGGTCCCAATTCCTTTATAGGTACGGTCCTGACTTGTTTAATCGATAGTAAGTCATTATATCCAAAAATCGCAAAAGATATTTACACTTTAAACTTAGATTTACTTGTTAGCTACCGCCAACTAAAGATTAAGTTACCCATTTGTCATTTTTCTACCTTTTATTCTATTTTTAGAAAAGTGGTGCTATTATTTTTTTCGTATGTTTTTCCAGTTTTGCATGGATTTTCTTAAATAAGTCCAGAAACCTTTTATAAAGCTAACATTTTTTTTCATATTCAAATTATGTTTAGTCTTACTATTTAAAACCCGTTTTGAAAAGTTAAAAAAGTTAAAAAATGTGAGTAGGGTGACTAGTTAAAATTTTTTTGGGTTAGTGGTGCTATTATTTTTTTCACAGCTGAACGAGGTAAACTTTTAGAAGCAAGCGGCTTTGGAATCAATGTGGTACTGTTCACATACAAAAAAAAGAAAAAAGTGGGGTGGCCGGGTTGACATGGAACGTCCCATATGTTAAATTAAAAAAAATATTTTTTTTGTGTGGAACCCGTTAAAAAAAATTTTTTAAATCTTAATTTGTTTTTACTTTTAAGAAATTAAAAAATCATTTTTTTTTTTTAATAAGAGGCTTTAGAGGAATTAATGCAGAAGACACGAAGTCAATCGGATTACTACAACCGGAGATTCAGATTTTTAATGGCAGAAATTGGGCGTTGAGCTGTTATTGCTTGATGCAAAGTTGCTAAAATTTTTTTTCACCACTTCCTGAAGAATTGATGAAGCAACATGAGGAAAATTATTTTTTTCGGAAATCGCGTGTATACGGCGTACAGAATTTTTTAAATTTAAAATTCCCTTAAAAAACACTTAATTTTAAATTAAAAAAATTTTTAAAATATTTTTCTGAAGGATATGAAGTTATTCCACAAAGTTGCATACCAAATATTAAAATAACTCAAACGAATTTCAAGTGATAACTGAAAAATCGGAGCTAATTTAAAAAAATATTTTTTAAAAATAAACGGTAAGAATTAAAAAAAAAAAAAAAAAAACCGATCCTTATATTTCAATCCTCTATCGAAAAAAAAAGTTTCGATTGATTCTGAGATTTGACCCAAATTTGCCTATTACGTCTCACGTGGAATAAGCCTTGTCAAACCTTAAACCCAACCGACCTACATCAAACCCATTTGACTTGGGTCGTTTGGGTTTGGGTATTTGGGTAAATTACTCAAACCCAAATACCCAAACCTAAACGACCCAAGTCAAATGGGTTTCAAGGTTACCCGAAGGACTCATGCTAATAATTTCAGTTTTATAAAAAAATCGATTTTTAAATAGGACCATGATAACAAATTTCACAGCTCATCGACCCGTCGCGAATTCTTAAAGTCAAGATGGATATTTATGTATAATATTTAAAATTAAAGGATACGATATATCGACATTTGTTTCTACTTCTTCCGCCCATGCAAATTCTTGTGGTCTTTAAATACTACATTTGAATGATCCCGGGCTTACTTACCATTCAACTTGTGTTAGAGATGCAGGATTCGCCACATATTCACAATTAAGAAGAACTATTTCACTGGTGTTGGTCATTATAGCAGATGGGCTGACTTTGACAACGGGTGGATCTATTGTAGAATAAAAGGATATGTTATGTGATTAAACAACTACGTAATACTTTGTATCGCTTTACAAATAAATAACGTTAGAGTTTTCCCATATGATTCTTTTCAGTGTTGTTTGTGCACTATGAAAACATACACTCATAGAAATTTTTACCTAAATACTAGAAAAGTCGCCCTAAAACCGAGGTCGCCCTAAAAATACCAAAAATTTTCTTATTATACGGGTGGCTAGCCCTAAATATTTTTTAGGGTTAGTTTTTTCAAAAGGGCCAATTTGCCCTACTTTTTAGGGCGAAATTTTATGACGCAATAAATGGATACATACATGTAAAACGTGTTATGTACATGTGTGTGTAGTTGACAGGTCAAAACAAGTGAGTTAGAATGGGTAGCCCAGCGGTCTAAGCACTCGCACTTTCAGCTTTGCTGTTTGAAAATACAGGTCGTGGGTTCGATTCCTGTGTGAATCAACACTTTTTTTTTTTTATTACAGTTTTTATTACTAATTAAGTTTTTTCGTCCGCATGTTAAATTTAAAGTAGTCTTAAAACCCTAAATACATAAGAAAATTCTGAGTTTAAAGACTAATTTATGTTAAGCATGCGAAGAAAGTGAGATGTGTACAGTGTTTGTACGTTGCTTAGCGCGATCGGACTGTGGTGCAGCGCTAGAGCGTTAGACTCTAACACGAGAGGCCGTGGGTTCGAACCCTCGTAGAGACCGCAAATGTTTTTTTCAAGTAAGTTGTATTTTCTCCTTATATATATCTCCTTAATTCGATTACAAAGATGATTTTTCAGTTATAACCGGCAGTTATACAAGTCTGCTGCCTCCTGCCCCCAACGGCATCGTCCGATATAGCAACAATTCAACAAATAAATTATCTGAAACGATGTTCGAGTGTGTGTGTGTGTGTGTATGTGTTGAAACCAGTTCCCAGGAAATATCAACACCCCCCCCCCCACCATTGAAAAATTAATAGACTTTTTTGCTTTTATTTGGTTTTATTTTTATGGCGATTCGCCCTAGATTTGTTGCCTAGTCGCCATTGACCCCCGTTTTAGGGCGATTTTCCTTGTTTTTAGGGCGATTTTACCGGAAAATTTGTATGAGTGTAATAGACTTTCTTATTGATTTTAAAGTAAATAATGCGAACTTATAATGGTAAAATGTTGCAGAGTTGTCATAACCTTTAGTAAAATAAGAAGACAACTCTAGTTTTTAACGATTCAACAAAGTTTTCAACAGCCCCGAGGCCGTTGAATTGCTGAAATTTCTGAAAGTTGATTCAACAGCAAAATTCAACAATTCAACAGTTTGGGGAATACCCTATTTATTTTCTGTATGTGGTTTTAACTCCAATGATGTATTTACTTCGGCTTGTACTTATACATTTGTGTAATTTCCTTTTTTTTAAACACTTACATAAAACTTCCAATGTAAAAACAGATGAAATGGGTTTTTCTCGATTGATTTGCAAAACAACATTTTCAGCTTCGCAGCGAAAAACGCGGTCATTTTCAAAGCGTGTGGCATTAAAAATCAGTTCCGATTGCGTGTGGTACGTGCCATCCTTTTTTTCAAACTGCAGAAAAACATGTTAGATATATGAATTACACTGTGCAACAAAATTAATGGTTTTAAAAATTACCTCGATTGATGCTATATTTTTGAATTCGCTACGAATTCCGAAGTTAAACTGCGATTTCCAAAAAAGATCCTTGACGCAAGGATCCTTAGCACAAGGACCTCAATGTTTGAAGAATGCTGAAACTGGCAAACTTTCCGGAGGTATCACAGGCAAACGGATTCATGGTTTGTTTTGATGTTAAAAATGTTTAAAAGTTACACTCTTTATCCAACCCCATACTTAGAATAATTGTAGGATTTTTTTAAGGGGTTATATACAGTTGTACCGCACAAAAAAATGAAATTTTACCGATTTTTTTTTGACACCAAAAAAAATACTTATTAAAAATGTTTTGCCGGCGTTGTTTAGTACATGTTTCTGGGTACTTATTAAAATTTTTTCACAAAAAAATATTAAATAATAAAAATGTTATGGCCAAATTCCAAGATCATTTTTCTTCGATGGTGACTTGCGGTGGACATCATATCCCAAGAACGGTTCATCTCAAATCCGCAATTCAAATAAATTTTGTTAGTATATTGTATTGCCTAGTCCCTGAACGATGGATTTGTTAAAATTTTGATTAAAAAAAAACGGAGACGGTTTAAACAAAAAATTACCTGTTTCATGGTATAAAATTTTGGATTTTATGCTCTAAAAAAAGAAGTTTTCAAAAAAATTTTAAATCCTTCGTTCAAGGACTAGCTATTGTTATAATAAATAAGTGGTCAACATTTTGTGTCCATCAGATTAATAGTTTTTTAGTAATCGTGTCCACCGCAAAGGTAATTTCGAAAAAACAAGATTCTGAGATAATCGCGTTTAAAGTTTCAAGTTTGTAAGGGCCGATGTGCTGGTAGTGCGCTATAAATAGCTACAACTTCGGTTCTAAAGCTCCGATCGTTTTGAATTTTTGTGAGAGTATTCTCAACAGTATATACTTAAAGAATGTGCAAAAAAAAAATCGATTTTTTCATCTATCACAACTGTATATAACCCCTTAAGGAAGAAAGAAATTCAAGAAAACAATCAAAAAGCATAACAGCATACAGCTGCGGTCAAAATAGTAGTAGTGTTGCCGCACTGTGTTTTTAAAAGTTTGTTGTTGTAACTTATCTTCTCCTGGTTATAATATATTGATTATAATTATACTACTAGATTAATTGGATAAGAAAAGTTACAACAACAAACTTTAAAAATACACAGGGCGGCCACACTACTGCTATTTTGACCGCAGCTGTATGCTGTTTTCTAAAATTTGTATCTCCCTTAAATAAAATCCTAAAATTATTCTAAGTATGGGATTTAAAAGATAAAGTATGTATCTTTTAAAAAACTTTAACATCAAAACAAACTATGAATCCGTTTGCCTGTGATACCTTCAAAAAGCTGGCCAATTTTAGCATTTTTCAAACTTTGAGGTTCTTTTTGAAAAAGATCAGTTTAACTTCGGAATTCGTAACGAATTCAAAAATATAGCATTCATCGATATAAATTTTGTATGTTGCATACATGTGTTATTACACCAGTTTACAAAAAAAAATTGATGAAATACGCATTTCATGAAACTTTTATTTTCTGGTAAGGTACATCTTTCTGATTAAAAAAAGGGCACTTACAATTTTTTGTATGGTACCAATTTTTTTTAAAGTGTAAAAAACGTTTTTGACGCTTTTTTAATTTCTAACTCGAGCTGTGAATAACCGATTTCGGCCATCGAAGACTCATTTTACAGGTAATAGAATGCCCGCTACAATTTGTCAAAGTTGAAAAAGTTGGAAAAAACGCAAAAATTATGGCATAAATGGCTTCGTTAAAAATACACGCCTAAAAACCAAAATTAGTTTTATAAGTAAGAGGGCATTCTATCACCTGTGAAATGAGTCTTCGATGGCCGCAATCGGCGGAAATCGAAAAAAAAGCGTCAAAAACGTTTTTTACACTTTAAAAAAATTGGTACCATACAAAAAATTGTAAGTGCCCTTTTCTTAGTCAGAAAGATGTACCTTATCGGAAAATAAAGCTTTCATAAAGAGCGTATTTCATCAATTTTTTTTTGTAAACTGGTGCTATTGCAGGGTCCGAAAATAACAGTTATTTTATTTAAAAGTCCTTTAAAATAAAATATGAAGAAAAATAGGTAGAATTTTTCTAAAAACGCAGAATTGTTTATTTTCATGCAATCTGTTGATTCATGCAATAATCTTTTATCGTGGGACTTTTATGTATCCCACAACAAATAACAGTTATTCAAATACTTCTATTTTACTTGTCAGAGATTAACAGTTATCGAAAGACTTTTATTATAAAAGTCCTGACTGATATATTGGAAAGGTTTTTAAAATATAAAGCAGTCAGTGAGTTTTATTTTTGTGAGTGTATAACGGGCATTTTCAGCTTTCAAACTTATTGACCGATTTAAGATCAAATTTGTCTTCAGATACACTGGAAAAACTTTAAATTTTGAAATTAAATACAAACAAATAAACTAACTCTGAACTAATTGGTTTTATTTTTTTCTTGGATTATTAAGCGAGATATTTCATAAAGACTTTTATTTAAATGCTTACAAATAAAAGTCTTCCAGGGACTTTTTTCAAAAAAGTAAAAGTCTCGGACTGCTATTTATTTTTGACTTTTATTTTAAAAGTCATAACAGTTATTCTGTGTGAGATTTATAAAACAGTAATTTTGTGACAGATAAATAAAAGTCAGGAGAAAAACTGTTACCCGATGACTTTTATTTTAAAAGTTATAACTGTTACAGTCCCTGTGTTATTGGCTTACACTCTATATAAAGTGAAATTTACCGATTTAATCCGAATTTCAGTTATATCATTATCATCAGGATTAATTAAGATTGATGAATTATACCACGTAAGGTTAACAGCTGGTCGAGCTCCTTGGATCTAGTATGAAATAAAAAGTTTTACACATTAAATAATAGTCTTCCATGTTCTTAAGTACAAATGTATTATACCCCGGACTCGTTGAAAATAAACGAAAATTTGTTATCCAAAAAGTATGCAACAAAAAATTGCTTCTGAAATTCGGGATTCGACAGTGAAGCTTACCATCTCACAGGATATTTATCCAATACCAGTGTTGGGAAAGGTACTGTGTTTTTTTACCTAGGTAAGGTAAAAGGTATTGGGCAAAAATAAATACCTAGGTAAGGTAAAGGTACTTCAATTTTTCAGTACCTAGGTAAAGGTAAAAGGTAAATATATTGTTTTTTTATTTTTTATAATTTTTTTGTTTTATTCAATGTAATCATTTAAACTTAAAATAAGACTAGTTTTCCGTTTTTAGTCGTCTTTTCATTTCATTTAAATTTAAATGTTATAATTTTGTGTATATATTTTGAAAACACGCGGCATGAATAATTGTATGCACGTATCACTTCATTAATGTATTTATGAAACATACGTACATACGGCATTTTTGCGCGCCAAATACACATTGGTTTCATAAATAAATTGATGTAGTGATGGGAACATACATACGTGCACAAAATTATATAAAATAAAACTGCGATTAGTTTTCATTCTCAAATATGTTCCGACTATTACAGTTTCGAAACGAAACGATACAATGACGTGTAGATGTGGTGGATTTAGCTTATTTCAGTGTCGCATTCAGATTTGGCTATTTTAAATCAGAGCAATGTTTAATGCTTATGTAAGTACCTTAATAATTCCAAAGGTATATAAAAATATTTAGCTAGGTAAGGTAAAAGGTACTCAATTATTTTTATACCTAGGTAAGGTAAAAGGTACCACTAAATTGTACCTAGGTCGTACCAATACTTGAGCGGTCGGCACACACATACAGTGACATCTTCTTTTATATTATATTTATATTTATATTTATATATTTGTGTGAGTGATTTGCTCAGGGCAGCTCATCGATGTGTGTGTGCAGACCGCTGTTCTACAGTGTACGTGAGCGACGGAGAATGAGCAGAACAATTCCCTATGCTCATTTAATAGGACGTTGCCGACCGCTGCAATATTTGAATGAAACATTATTGGTTGGTAGACTGATTTTCATGATATCTCATTTTACAAATGATTTAAAATATAGGCGCTAGGCAGATAGAAGATAATATCATCCTAATATCATCTCCTGCCAGTTCGGACAAGTTCGCGTAGAATCGGACTGATGGACAGACATTGCTAAATCGATTCGATACATAATAACTTTACAGAGTCGAAAACAGAACCTTCTTTGCGTTTGCAAACTTTAGACTAAATTCAAAAAAACCTCTGCAAGGATATCAAGCCGCCGTGTGTTTTTAAGCTCAAAACTTACATCGTGCAGTGGAATTTCAATTAACCGCATTTAAATAATAATAATAAAACATATTTTGAGGTCAAACATGACATTAATTAAAATATTTCTGTGTACACTGTTCATTGTACAGTAATGTGTCGAACACTGCACAAGTTTTTGATTAGATATACATATATACTTACATCACATGTTAAAACCACTTTGCTGCCTTGCACTGTATGATGTTTCACTCCGTTTATATCGATCCTTGTTGGACGAACTGTTGAAGAAAAAATTGTTAATTAGAATAGTGTAATAAAAAAACAAGAAAAAACGCTATAGTCGAGGGCTCCGACTATAAGTTACCAGTTACTCTTATAGTAAATTTCAAAAAAAATTTATTTGGAGTCTGTTTTTCAGTTAAATACCTTGTAAGTCCACGCTAAATTTTGTTACAGTTGTGTTTGGTATGGCTGCAGAGTTCACGCGACATTCAATGTCCTGAGCAAGATCTTCGCGGGACAATGGCCAATCCAACTCGAGTGTTGACGTATAAAGTCCATCGTTCAAGTCATGAGTCGGAGAATCTGTTGGAGTCAATTGTAAGTTTAAAGTTTTGATTTAATTATTAGTATTATTAGAAGGCGTGTCAATACCTGTACAGAAGAAAATAACCTAACATAAAAGGATTGAATGCCCTTTACTCATATTTATTGGTATTTAGACAACTATTGTAATTGTAATACTTACAGGTTGTTAGTCGCTTGTCTCCACGGAACCACCCGACTTCTGGTTGAGGGCGGGTGTTCTTTACAGTACATGTTGCTTTGAGGGACTGGCGTTCCTGCATGGGTCCAACTACGCTGCCGTTCTCGATTCGATCGCCTTTTGCATCCAAAATAACAATCTCAGTGGGTGGCACTGAGTATGTGTATGTTTATTCATTTGTTGAATAGTGTTGTTTGTGTGTGAGTGCCGTATAATTTTAAGAGGATAAATATTTTAATTATAATCTCAAAAAAATTATAATATATATGGTTTTGTGTTGAATATATATTTTTAAAAATTATCCCCAAAACATAGTTATACCTTAACAAAAATGTTTAATACAAATGATTTATTTCTTGAGTAAATTACATTTTGTAACATTTCTTTAATAAACAATTACTCCTAAAACACTTATTTTTAAATATTAAACAACTATTTATTTTCATTTGTCCATTGAGATTAATTTTGAAACTAAACACACCCAATGAACCATACATTTATTTAAGGAATTTATTTACCAATGTTTTCTACGTTTTTAAAGCGTAGAAAATGGTGTGCATTTTAAGTCCAAAATCAATATTAGGTAAGTAAACATTGTTAGAGTTAAACGTTTTATAATTATTGGCCACAGATGGGGTGATTTGTATTTTTGTATTGGTACATGAATAATGTAAGGATTTTGAGCAATGTTAATGTTAATATAATGTAGTAGTAGTAATGGGTCATACGTATTACAAAGAGTTTCCAAGTCGAGGTAGACAATCGGTTTGATATAGTTTTTTAAAGAGAACAATTTGTAAAGATAAATATTTTTATGAGTTTTGACGCGTGTTTATGTAAAATGAAAGAAAGAGAAAAATATTTGTTAAAGACTAAAAGGCTGCGTGTCAACAGGATAGAGGGAATGATTATTTTAAAACAGGCAGTTTAGACAAAAGGATTCAATTTCATACCGGGAGAAAAACCGAAACCGGTCTTCTTTCTAGTAAACTTTTCCCTTAGAAATGCGGTAACGATGTAAGCATGCTAACAGAAACCACCCTTTATATGTAAGTACTTGGATAGCTTACTTAAATTTGGTGGGGTGTTTAGATATATAGAAATATAAACTTATTCATGGGTATCATAAATTAAGTCCCCCAACTAGTCCTTCAGTTGTAAAGGTATCGGCATTAAACTTTTTCAAAATATTTCTATTGCAGGTTGTTTATAATTCCGAAGGAGCCAGATTGAATATCCTTCTGCTCCAATAGGAATAAAAGGTAAAGTGGAGTGCCCCGACTATCAAATAGCCGTTACTCAGCTAAATTATTGAGAGAGGGATAAAGATATGCAAGCAGCAAGGGCAGGCAGAATCTAGAAGAGACGCCATCTAGCGGAAAATTCTTTATTTGCTCATAACTTTTGATCCGATTTAATATAATATTCAACGCTTTGGTAGGTATTACTAAACCTAAAATAACAGCATTTACACTTTTCAAAATGTGTAAGGATGTGGGCCCCATACCCATTTTAAGGTCGTTTAGGGTAGGAACCTCTGCACCCAGAGAAATGTGGGACTATTTTTTTGGTAACGTATGATCTAAAAAATGTTAATAGACTAAAATTTCAGATTTAGGTAATGAGTTACCTGAAAATATTAGCATGTGGACTATGTTCCTACTTTTTAGATAAAGCTACAAAGATTTTTATAGGCCATCTTAATCTTAAAATTGGTCCGTATGACCTAAAATTTATGAATAGTTTGAAATCGATTTTTACTCACAATTAAATACAAATAATGGTCCTTAGTATTAATTAACAAAATAAAATATTTACTTATCCGAAAATAGCAATATAAGCAATAGTAAAAATTTTTCACTTTTTTGAAAATACCTAATATTTAGGTAATTCTGACCAAAAATAAATCTAAGACTGCGTACAAAATATAGTCCACATGACCAACATTTTAGGTAATGCATGGCCTTGGCGCCTTTTTCTGGCCATGTTTCCTAAAATTTTAGGTAATTAGGCCCCTTTTTAGTGCATTTTGTTTTCTGGGTGTCGCTGGTGTATTGTAATGATCAATAGCTTGTTTTCTTTGTCAAACTACCTTCTGCCAGTATAAGTTATAAAACTAGTTTTGGTTTTTAGGCGAGTATTTTTTACGAAGCCATTTATGCCAGCATTTTTGCTTTTTTTTTCAACTTTGACTAATTGTGGTTTTTTAAACTAATGAATAGATCTAAACGCTATGTATAAGAAAGTTTGAGGGCATTTTATTACCTGTGAAATGAGTCTTTGATGGCCGAAATCGGTTAATCCAAGCTCAAGTTAGCAATTAAATAAGCGTCAAAAACTTGTTTTACACTTTAAAAAAAATTGGTACAATACAAAAAATTCTAAGTGCCCTTTTCTTAATTAGAAAGATGTACCTTACCAGAAAATGAAGGTTTCATGAAGTGCGTATTTCATCAATTTTTATACCCTTGCAGAGGGTATTATAATTTTGGCCAGAAGTTTGTAACGCAGTGAAGGAGACGTTTCCGACCCCATAATACACATTCTTGATCAGGATCAATAGGGGAGTCGATATAGCCATGTCCGTCTGTCCGTCTGTTCCGTCTGTTTGCAAGCTCAGTTTAAAAGCGATATTTTTTTTAATTAAAAAAAAAATTTATTTAATAAAAATTATAAAATTTATTAATTTTTTTAATTAAAAAAAATATTTAAAAATGTTTAATAAATTACATAAAACAAAAAATTAATAAATACAACAATTTTTAAATTATTGTTTATTAAACTTTTTATTTTTTACTTTTTGTCATTCAGAAATTGTCAAAACACTTAAAAGTTAACTTTTAATCATAAAAAATGGTTAAAGGACTAGTAAACGATGAGAAAACATGAATTCCGTAAGGATCCGATAAGAGTGAGAGAGTAGACCTACATGCTGCGACGTTTTTTTATAGAAAAAAGCCGAGGCCTTGTTAAAACAAATTCGATATTTTAAAAACTAAACATGGCTCCACCTTTTTGACAAAAACCGATTGAAACTAACAATATGACGTTTTTTCATAAAAGAAAGCCGAGGCCTTGTTAAAACAAATTCGATATTTTAAAAACTAATCATGGCTCCACCTTTTTGACAAAAGCCGATTGAAACTAACAATATGGCGCATATGTTAAATTAAAAAAAAAATTTTTGTGGGGAACCCGTTGAAAAAGATTTTTAAAATCTTAATTTGTTTTTATTTTTAAGAAATTAAAAACTCTTTTTTTTTATTTTTTTTTAGTGAAGAAGTTTTAGAGGAATTAATGCAAAAAACACGAAGTCAATCGGATTACTACAACCGGAGATTCAGATTTTTAATGAGAGGGTACTTATTCAAAATTCACGTTTTTTGGCAAACTAAAAAAATTCAAAAAAAAATAATTTTTTTCGGCCATATCCTGATACACGTGTTTATTAATTTTCCGAAAAGTAGGGGAGAGTGAGGTAATTTCGTCAGCATTTTTTCAAAGCTATTTTTTGTCCATCTTGAGACACGTTATCATATTTCTATTTTTATTGTTGAATGCGGTTAGCACCAAGCTTTAAAATGTGACATTCCCCTATTTTTTTAATTACCTTGGTGATTTATAAAAAATTAAAAAGTAAACCCATACTGGGGCAATCTCGCCACATAGGGGGGTAAAATCACCACACCACAGGGGCAATTTCGTCACCTGAAAAATGTAGGGAGTTTAACGCCTGTAAGTGTGCTACACTGATCAAGCGTACCATTTTTGTTGACGTCCTATATTTGTTGCTGCTGCCGGTAGTCTGTTCGTTAGCCAGCTCGTCAAATAAAAAAATATGTATTTAAAATAGGGGCGAATTTACCCTAAGCATAGGGTGGCGAAATTTCCACAGACAGTACTTTTTTAGAAATAATTATTTTTCTTCCGAAATTAGGCGCGATGTTAAAAATCACTAACGCAGAAATGCACATTATAGCACTGTGTATTATATAAAAAATCGTGTATCTTATTCCTTTTGAATTGTGGCATACAGAAAAAATTTCGTCGAGAACTAAATGTAGCTTTTGAACTGTTAAAACACATTTAATATTATAGCTTAATTATCTTGGCCTTCTGTGCAAAAAAAAAGGCATTGGTTGTGTCATGCCGTCTTGAGGGACTAAAACAAAAAAAATTATATATTTTTAAGACTTATGGATTCCGAGATATTGCAGGTGACGAAATCGCCCCTGTGTTTATTTATCTTTGTTGGTCAATTTTACCAAGCAAATTTTTTTGTGTGTACTACTAAAGCTACAGACTTGTGCTGCAACTCGTTTAAAAGGTATTTAAATGCTATAATACTTTTCTATATGCAATTTGTGTAAATGTAATAGTTAAAAAGATATGAACAAAAGACAATTTTTTAAAACTTTTTTTTTAGCTTTTTTTTATTTTTTTCAAAAACGGCTCTAACGATTTTTTTTAAACTTTAAACTTTAAAGCCCTTGAGATTCCTTAAATTTTGGTATATAACACATTACTGTAAAAAGTCACGTTTAAAAGTTATTTTTATTCGAAAATAGCCACTTTAGCCAGCTCGAACTACTAACGCTCCCTGAGTATTGTGAGGGTATCCGAACTGTATTTTAAGGTCATGGAATCAGTAAATTTGCACTTAAGAGTTCCATATAGGAATCTTTTGTTCTACGACTTTTACAGACATGTGCTATACCTCGTTTAAAAGGTATTTTGAAACACTTCAACGCCTTTTGAACTTAACAATAGTTTAAAAATTATGATTTATGACCAATTTAAATTTAAATGTTTTTATTAGCACCTATGAGAGCAAAAGTAAACAAACAAAAACTTCTAATATCAAATAAAAACACCTCTTGACGAGGTAAAAAACTAGTGACGATCGCATCTTCAACATACAAAAGTTCTGATATCAACTTTTGTGACGAAAAATGATTTTAGGTATTGCAAAAACTTAAAGGATTGCATACCAAGACTTTCAGAAAATCAATTGGCTTGGGAGAGAGAGCGGTGAATGTGAAAATGTAAAAATTTCGAAATTTGGAGCTGTTGGGGCCGGTGGGGATAAATGCCCCCTCGCAATGTTTTAGTTGTGTTCCTATTGAAAATACCCGTCGAATGAGGGGTGATATACTTTTGTGACGAAACGAGTAAATTTTAGGTGGCGTACTTATTTAGTCGCATGTAAAATCATTTTTCGTCACAAAAGTTGATATCAGAACTTTTGTACGTTGAAGGTGCGATCGTCACTAGTTTTTTACCTCGTTTAGAGGTGTTTTTATTTGATATCATATAGCTGCCATAGGAACAATGGGAAAATTAATGAGAAATATTAGAAAATTTAACATTTTTGCGATTTGTTAATTAAAAGGAATGATCTGCAAGGGTATATAAGCTTCGGCTGGCCGAAGCTAGCTTCCTCTCTTGTTTTTTAGTAATATTTTTCTAATTAAGCTCCGCTTTTTTAGCTATGCAGCACTTGAGACTCGTTTGAGTTTTTTTGGTAAGCACCTTTGTGAGATATGTTAATATCTTTCAAAAAAATATTTAAAAAAAATGTCAAATTTATAATTAAGTATTTTTTAAGAGAATTTAAAAGTAGAACAATTCTGTACGCCGGAATACACGCGGTTTCCGAATAAAAATGTTATCCTCATATCCTACTAGTAAAGACAGCGATTTTAGTTTAGCAACGTGCAACGTGTAACAAAGGGAAAGCACTATTCCTGATCTCCCGCGCTCGTATCGAACAATTTAAATATTTAGCCATTTTTTTTGGAATTTTTATATAAATTTTAGCAATTTGTAGCAATTTTTTTCCAAATCTTGCAATTTTGGCTTCAAAGATTCTGGCAGAACTGGCACACACACATGCGCAAAAGACTTTTTGAATCGTCGTTCAAGAGCAATCAGTCTGTGAGCGAGCCGAGCAAAAGAAATCCGAAAAAGCTGCTCATCGGCTGAGTGCAAGCCAAATTTTTGTACAAACAATTCAATTGAATTGCAGTTAGAAAAAATTTATTTATTTTGAAGGTCAACTTTCCGAGTTCTTAAGTCTAGGGAAAGGATTGGTAAAAAAAATTTAATTAGCACATTGCAGGGCCTTTAAAAAAACAGTTGGTTGAATATCCCTACAAAAGTCCTTCCCATTCTAAACTTGCAGGACTTGGACTTGGTTGAGGCAGGAAGAAAGACACATTTGAAATTCAAACAGGCCTATTTTTAATATGTTGTTTACATTTCGAGCACATCGAATTGATATGCCGAATATCAAATTATTCATCGTTTCATATTAAGTTTTTTTGGGAGTGGTAATCATTTTAGGAGTTAAGCCTAAATATTGAAATGTTAATGTTAAATTCAAAGAAAATTACAAAACCTATCCTTGAAAACCGGTTTCAGAGTTTCATTTATTTCTGATAAACGGGAGACAATCACTGTTATTATAATATTTATTATTTTTATGCACTCTACTTGTAATCAACTAAAAATTTTTTAGTTTCCACTTAATTTAAAACTCATGCACTTTTAGCGTGTAGTTACCAGAATCAAATACTCTACGAACGAAAAATTTCTATTACAGCACTGCATAAATCAATAGAATTCTATTCACAGTAATAGTTGCAGGATTAGGTGTCATTGCACTTAAACGTGGAATTCATTTCATTAAAAGAAAAAAAATATTTTTTAATTAAACTCCGATTTTGAGGTTTTTTTTTAATATTTGGTATGCAACTTTGTGGAACATCTTAGTATCATTCAGAAAAATAAAAAAAAAAATTTTAATTTGAAATAAAGTATTTAAACTTTATTAAAATTCTGTACGCCGTGTATTCCACACGCGGTTTCCGAAGAAAAAATTTATCCTAATATTTCTTCATCAATTCTTCACGAAGTGGAGCAAAGGGGCGGGTTTTTTCAATTATTTCGATTATTTTTGGCGGAGATACAGTGAACACCGCAAAACACCTTTTTTTAATAGTGTTATAGCAATCGCTTTGCCACCGATATATTAGCCGATTGTATCGGCTTTAAAAATAAATAAAATTTATTTAAATGACACTTAATAATATACAAAAGGTTTGAATTTAATTCATCCAACCAGTTATAATAGAAAAAATCGCCAAATTAGTTGATTTTTTGATCTCAAAGACCCTACTCCTCATTAAACTTATTTTTTTAAATGTAACACGAAGTTTTTCAGTTTGTAGGTTTCTTAATCCAGGTGAATACGGAAACAAGCAAACAAAGTAAAAACCAAATTGTAGGGCATATTTGGCATGCAAGAAGCTATTGATTATAATATCAATAAAATATAATTGTAATAAATTGTAATGCTATGTTACTTAGCTTACCTAGGACTCTCAATTCGACTCGATATCCATTGAAGTTATCACACGTTTCTTCTGGTATAAAAAATGTAGTATCACATAGATAAATATCTTCATCAGCTATTTTTAAGTCCTTAATAACTAATCTGTATGGGTTTTGCTGAACAGTTACCCTTTTAAAAGAGAAAAACATTTTATTTATTTTTTATTTAATGTTATATTCATTTACCTTTCGTCAAATTCTTTATTAACACTCGTCACATTACTTTCTCCAAGGAGCATTGCAGCAATGCGATCATCGCCCTTAAACCAATTTAATGAATGTAGTTTTCCGCACTTATCTACATTAACGGGACACGGAAGCACAACTGAAAAACTTTCTTGCTGACTGATGGTGGTATCTGGAAAAAAAGAATACAAAATATATTATACTCAAAATTCATTTAAAAATATGCATTAAAGTTATGCATTATAACTGAAAAAATAATGGTATAGTAAATTTAAATATTAAATATTAATTGAATAATAATATAAATATTAATTTAAATGTAAATGCTTAGTTTAATATTAAAATCCAAGAAGGGAATATTAAATATTAAATTGGGTATATTTTTATTTTAAAAAAGTATTATATTTATCGTTAATATTTTCAAATTAAAAAAAATTTATGCGAAATATTAACTCTTTTAATTTGAATTTAGAACATTTTAGAAATGATTACTTAATAAAATACTTGTAACTAAAAGATTAAAATTATATTATTTTAAATACAGAATATGTGTGGAAACTCTCTACCTTCTAGCTTTTGAAGTTTCCGAGATCTCAGCGTTCATACAGACAGACAGACAGACAATTTTTTTCGGAAATTTATAGGGTCGGAAACGCTTCCTTCTCCCTGTTACATACTTTTGCACGAATACAATATACCCTTTTACTTTACGAGTAACGGGTATAAAAAGCTAAAGCAGTGTAAATAAAAAGTTTTTAAGATGTATATTTAACATTTGAAAAACAATAATGTATTAAAAAAGTTGTTAGTACAACTATTAAAAAAAACGTATGTCGTGATCGGGTCTTAAACTTTAAATAGTAACAGAGCAAGCACACTTTGCCCCTTTGCCATGTACACAATCTCATTTTCTACACTGCACATATTTAAATTTAATAAGAACCGCAATGGATGATAATCAAAGCGAAAAATATTTGGATTGAATAAATTGGTTCCAACCTATAGGTTAAGAGGTGTAAGAAGAGAACAGCAATACGAACACGGAAGAGCAGAAATAGTGCTTTCTCTTTCTTACACGTTGCGCTGTTGTTGCTTGATGCAAAGTTGTTAAACTAACTAACTAACTAAAGGACTTGCAAATACAAAAATTTTGTTTACCCACACCGTGAAGAATTGATGAAGCAACATGAGGATAATTATTTTTTTCGAAAATATTCCGGCGTACAGAATTTTTTAAATTTTAATTCCCTTAAAAAATACTTAATATTAAATTTAAACATTTTTAAAAATATTTTTCTGAAAGGTATTAAGATATCCCACACACAAAAAAAAAACTTGGTAAAATCAGCTGTAATAATTGTCAAACAGTCCCCAACCAGCAAAATTGTCAATTCTACTAAGTAAATAGTCATTTCACAACAACAAAATACACACAATTAGCAAAGACACAAACCCAAAGCAAAAACAAAATACACGTAACTATTTTAATAGTTACGTAACTATCTTTGTTGGTCAATTTTACCAAGCAAATTTTTTTGTGTGCACAAAGTTGCATACCAAATATTAAAAAACCTCAAAAGCTAATTTACAAAAAAATTAAAACCGATCTTTATACTTTAGTCCTCTATCGAAATAAAGAGTTTCGATTGATTCTGAGATTTGACCATTACCATTTTTAACCAAAAAAGTTTTTGACCACTTTTTTCAAAATTCCATAAAAAATTAATAACGAGCTTGAATATATTTGGTAAAATGCTTAAAACATAGGTAATTACATGCTTAACAAATATTAAAAATATCACATTAACTTGATAGTCAGAAAAAAACAACCCATTTTGTGTAAGTGTGGACACTTTGAGCGTGTAAGTTGAGACACCCGTTTTGCATACAAAAACCATCAGCCCGACAGAGATCGATTTCTGCATAGTAAATTTTCTTTTGAAATTTGGGGAAACGTGATCGTTTTTAAAGAGCCTTTTAGTTTTAACGGCTATTTGGTCTAAGTTAATTAAAAATGGACGGGAAATAAGTTCAAACAAACTAAAATAAATAAATTTCAGTTTTCACTAGGGAAAAAAATCATTTTTTGTTGTTTTTCTTGAAGCTAAAAGACTAATCTTTCGATAAGTATCTAATGCGTGAAGTTTCATAAGTGAATGTCGAAATGGCAGATAAAAAAACAAAACTGTACCAACCTACAGACCTTTTCCCTACTCTTTTGCAGAAATACTTGAATGATATATTGCAGCGGTCGGCAGCGTCCTATTAAGTGAGCATAGGAAATTGTTCTGCTCGAGCGCTGCCTCCACGTATACTGTAGAACAGCGGTCTGCGCACACACACTGTTAAGCCGCCCCGTACAATTTACTCACACAAATATAAAACAAAATGTAATTGTATGAGTGTGCCGACCGCTGATATATTGTAATAACATTTAAATCAATTGTCATTATTTACTTCTTTGTAACTTTCGTAACTTGAAAAATATCCGAAAGGAATTTTTTCATTAAATTAATGTTGCATAGTTTCCGCGCATTCAAATAAGCATAAATATTAATCACACTGAACTAGAAACAGGTTAGATTTTGTGTCTCTAAATAACTTTCATTTATTTATACAATTTAAAAACGGACGGACAGGCTAGATCGAACCGACTAGTGATACTGATCAAGAATATTTATACTTTATGAGGTTGGAATCGTCTCCTTAACTGCGTTACAAATAGGGATGTCGAAAATATATCAAAATATAAATATATATGATATTTTTTTTTGAATAATTACACTGTGCAGCATTTTTAGTGTTTTTTAAATTTACCTAGATGGATGCTATATTTTTGTATTCGTTACGAATTCCCAAGTTAAACTGCGTTTTCCAAAAAGTTCCCCGACGCAAGGATTCTTAGCAAAAGGACTTCATAGTTCGAAAAATGCAGAAATTGTCCAACTTTCCGGAGCTCTCAGAGGCAAACAGATTCATGGATTGATTCGATGTTAACGTTTTTTAAAAGATACACTCTTTATCTTTCAAGCCCCATACTTAGAATAATTTTAGGATTTTTTTTAAGACAGAAATAAATTCCAGAAAACATACTCAAAAAACATAAAAGCATACAGCTTCGGTCAAAATAGTAGTAGTGTTGCCGTCCTGTGTTTTTAAAAGTTTGTTGTTGTAATTCATCTTCTTTTGGTAATATTGTATTGATTATAATTGTACTATTAGACTCATTGGATAAAAAAAAGTCACAACAACAAACTTTTAAAAACACAGGACGGCAACACTACTACTATTTTGACCGAAGCTGTATGCTTTTATGTTTTTTGACTATGTTTTCTAAAACTTGTTTCTCCCTTAATAAAAATCCTATAATTATTCAAAGTATGGGTTTTGAAAGATAAAGAGTATATCTTTTAAAAAACTTTAACACCAAATTAACCAATGTATCCGTTTGCCTCTGAGAGCTCCGGAAAGTTGGCCAATTTCAGCATTTTTCGAACTTTGAGGTCCTTTTGCTAAGAATACTTGCGTCGGGGAACTTTTTGGAAAACGCAGTTTAACTTTGGAATTCGTAACGAATCCAAAAATATAGCATCCATCGAGGTAAATTTTTGATGCTGCATAGTGTTATCATATATCATCGATTTTTTCCACATTTTTTTGATATTTTTAAGTGGTCTCACTTTTCATCGGGACAAGAAAAAATACATATGTATGTAAAGATGAGCCCCCCTAAAATTTATTTTTCGGCAAGTGAAAATGCATAGCATAGCATTTAGAATTTAAGAAAACGCGATAAATAAAATGCGCGGGAAATACTTGATTTTAATATTTTAAATAAAAGCAAAAGAAAGCAAAAATAAGTATTGTTTATAAAATATAATTTAAGATCGTATGTGGGTTAATGTTTAGTGCTTATTGCTTATGCAGCTTAAAATTAAAAAAAAAAAAAACAAAAATATCAAAAAAATCTGATATGAAGATATTTTTTTTCTGATATATCAAATATCATTTTGATTTTTTGTTTAAATAAAAAATATCATTGATACAATATTTTTAAATATTTCGACATCCCAAGTTAGGTTCGAGGTTTTTACTCTTACTTAGCCATTTATGTGTGTGTTACATAAACTAAATCTCAATTTGTATTAAATATGAATATTAATGAGTAAAAAAAAAATAAAAAAACGCAAAGAACTTCCGCTTCCACGTGGGACTGAACACACACTTCCGACTATACGCTTACATAACATATAATCCGCGCGCTTTGGTCCCCTAGGCTACCGATTAGGGAAATTCCTAAAAATGTTTGATATTTTATCATATCAGTGTCATATGATTTCATATAAATTATAAATATACTTGTTTGAAATACCGAAGTCAGTATTTTTTCGAACAAATAATGTGAAATAAGATCAAAATAATATTTATTCATTTTAGAATGATATGACAAAACTTGATCTTAAACAAGAAAGGAAGCTAGCTTCGGCCAGCCGAAGCTTATATACCCTTGCAGATCATTCCTATTAATTAACAAATCGCAAAAATGTTCAATTTTCTAATATTTCTCATTAATTTTCCGATCGTTCCTATGGCAGCTATATGATATAGTCGTCCGATTTTGATCAAATTAAAATTGAAATTCGGAAATATTTAAAAAGAGTCATATCCTAGAGTAGAAGATAATACAATAAAAACCAAAGAAGCTAGAATTTATTTCCTATTACTTTTCCATTAATTTTCCGATCGTTCCTATGGCAGCTATATGATATAGTAGTCCGATTTTTTAAATAATTAATTCGAGATTCAGAATTATTTAAAAAATAACATCCCCAAAAGTAGAAGGTAATATTTCAAAAAACACCGAAGCTAGAATTTTTTAAAGTTTTTTTCTTCCGATCCTTCCAATAGGAGCTATAAGATATAGTTGTCCGATCCGGTCGGCTCCGACATATATACTACCTGCAATAGAAAGAAGACTTTTGCGAAAGTTTCGTCCCGATAGCTCAAAAACTGAGAGACTAGTTTGCGTAGAAACAGACAGACGGGAAGACGGACAGACGGACATGGCTAGATCGACTCGTCTTGTGATGCTGATCAAGAATATATATACTTTATGGGGTCGGAAACGTCTCCTTCACTGCGTTGCAAACTTCTGACTGAAATCATAATACC